CTCTTCTTAGAGTGTAAATAATTACCGGACTATGACTGGTAAAATATGTTGAATACCGGCAAAACTAAATCTCTCCTGTCAAAATCTCTATGTACTTTGCCGCCACACACGGTTGCCAAGCAGTGCTTATTGTTGTTTAGGCTGGCCACTCATGTGTCGCGAGTGTTGACAGGGGGCGGGGGAGCACGCTCATGAACTGTTAGCGCCGGAACCTCGCAACGGCTGCGGAGCGCATTTGCGCCGCATTTGGGCATAAGATGAGGTTTGAGTCTGCGTGATTTGCGTGTAGGGAGGGGCAGCAGCCATATCATTAGCTAGAACTAGCTAGATCTGATGGATTTGGACATAAACGCGAGTGAAGTACCGGACGCGAGAGAGAGAGAGATCAGCACCTGCAGCTCTGCCCGCTGTGAGGGACCGGTGAGCGGAGCTAAACACACCTTTAGACGTCACCTAACACATTTAGCTATGGCACTGTCGTATACATTGAATTATACAATTTGATAATATGTAATCAACTTAGGCATCCCTCCCAAAAAAAAAAAAAAAAAAAAAAAATGAATAAAAATATTCATAACTCATATTCGAATACCTGAATAATTATTCGAACACCTGAATAATTTCGAATATTCGAATATTCGATTAATCGTTCCCATCCCTAAAATGCGCCACACCTAATCGCTGGCCATTCAGGCCCCGGCCCCACGGGAACGCATTAGGGATGGGAACGATTAATCGAATATTCGAATATTCGAAATTATTCAGGTATTCGAATAATTATTCAGGTATTGAGTTATGAATATTTTTATTCATTTTTATTTATTTATTTATTTTTTTGGGAGGGATGCCTAAGTTGATTACATATTATCAAATTTAATAATTCAATGTATACGACAGTGCCATAGCTAAATGTGTTAGGTGACGTCTAAAGGTGTGTTATGCTCCGCTCACCGGTCCCTCACAGCGGGCAGAGGCAGGTGCTGATCTCTCTCTCTCGCGTCCGATACTTCACTCACGTTTATGTCCAAATCCATCAGATCTAGCTAGTTCTAGCTAATTCTAGCTAATGATATGGCTGCTGCCCCTGCCTACACGAAAATCACGCAGACTCAAACCTCATCTTATGCCCAAATGCGGCGCAAATGCGCTCCGCAGCCGTTGCGAGGTTCCGGCGCTAACAGTTCATGAGCGTGCTCCCCCGCCCCCTGTCAACACTCGCGACACATGAGTAGCCAGCCTAAACAACAATAAGCACTGCTTGGCAACCGTGTGTGGCGGCAAAGTACATAGACATTTTGACAGGAGAGATTTAGTTTTGCCGGTATTCAACATATTTTACCAGTCATAGTCCGGTAATTATTTACACTCTAAGAAGAGTCCTACACAACAGACATGGCGTCAAAAAGGAGTAATGTGTGGAAATATTTCGACCAGGTTAGTGAGTGCGGTGTAGAGTGCAAACTATGCCAAATTAAACTTATATATATACATACTATACCTTGCTATACCCGCAACCTCCGTTCCAGCTGAGAGGGTCTTCTCTACAGCTGGCCTGATTGTGAATCGCCTCCGCACATGAAAGCTGTAGGCCTATAGCTGTCAAACTGTGATCACCAGTTCAATACATTTGAGAAATTCGACTTGGTTTCTATACTTATTTGAACATGTATTTATTTATTTCCAAAAGTTATTGAAAACATTTTTTTTTACATTTTTTTTTTAACCAATTTTTTTTTTATAGGATATGTACATTTCGGTTAACCGGTTAACCGTTTTTTGGGGGGTCGAATATTTGAATACACATTTGCTTTCAAATTCCCATCCCTAGAACGCATACGGCAAAACGCATAGGATTAACGCAAACGCAATCGCCAAAAAGCTTCCGTCCACACGCAATATACACCGGATAGTGTCTGTCCACACGAGACAGCTCCGTTTAGATCCAACCGCTGGAAAAGCTGCAGTACATAATATGCCGAGCCTGTACGTGGCGCTGTAACTTCCTCCACAAAATCAGCAACTTCCTCCACAAAAGCAGCGAAGAAGAATGGTTGTCATGGCTGCACTTCTGTTTATTCTCCGCGGTGGGGGCCGAGGGAACCGGGCAGAGTTTTTCGCCGGTCAACGTGTGTTAAAGTTTAAATCTTCCGGACAAAATTATAAAAGTGCCGGTCAAAGGTCTTCTTTGTTATTTATTGAGCTTTAAAACAAATGAATAACGACTCTATATAATGATATATAATAATAAAATACACGGAGCCTGTCTCTTTTTCCTCTCTTCTGACAGCGTCAGTGTCTGTCTCATGCAGTTGTCGTTTGCAGGGTCCGTTTCTATCGTTTCGTTACGGCGTCGTGTGGCAAAAAGGGCTATACGCAAGAGAAATATGCGGATACAACCCGTTTTCGTTCCCGTGGGGCCGGGGCCTCAGCCACAGCTCCCTCTATGCAAATCAAACTAGACGGTGTGAAAGCGCCTATTGTTTTAAATAATGGTCGGAATGTGAGCCTTCTCAATTACCGTGGGACAGCAGAGAACTCTAAACTAAAATGTTCAATCAATAAAGTAACATCTTATCTTATCTTATCTTAATAATATCTTCATATTAATAATAATAATAATAATAATAAATCATACAGTATGTGTCCGAAAGGGAGCAGGAGGAAGCAAACACCAAAAAAATATTGCAAAAAATATACTGCATATTAAAGCAAACGATTGTAAAGGTAAAAGTATGAGCATAAAAAATAAAGAAGTGTAAACATTTACATTATTATTATGATTATTTAATATATAAAGACTATATATTATTGAATTACAAGATTAGATATACTTTATTTGATCTAAAATATTGATGTGTTCAAATGCTCTTCAAAACACAACTGAAGTACTGAAAGTCCATGAAACTTGTCTTTCTGTATTTGTGAATCAAGCGCCATCTCATGGTTAAATCCTGAAATTGAAAATGCCCTCTTGGAAAATAGTGGGAGGGCTTAACATTCCCAGCCGCTGGGATCCCTTGGGTCTTTGGCAGGAAGCTGTTGGCTGGAGTCCTTTCTGGAGTGCTACATCTGTACATCTACGCTTAGGACGCCATCTACGCTTAGGACGCCGTCTACGCTTAGGACGCCGTCCAACTCCCCGGGGATCGGCTTTGCTGGACGATGTGAACTGAGTCACTACAGCTGGTGTCTTTGTTTCTTTTTGCACCGCCGTGCGTAAGGAGGGATCGCGGCTCGCACTCACTAAATCCCCGGCCCTGACTATCTATAGGAGGAAGCAGACCTCCCGCTCCTGACACTCGAACATCTATCCTGCGCTGGCTGTCTTCATCGCCGGCAGCTCTATCCGCTGCGAACGACACAACTCCCACCCAAAAGAGTGCCGAGTCACATGTAGCGTCCTCCAACCTCTATTCACACCTCTCCACTGCCTTTTGTATCTCCGCTGTGAGTCTCTCAGCTGTGAGTCTCTCAGCTGATTAACACACCTGTTCCAAGTTCAATCAAGTTAACACTGAAGTCCAATCAATCAGTGCCCATGCAGGCGTGCCCACATCACAATACATTTTTGAAAAACAAAAACAATATAATCCTTTTCTGGGATATTTGAAGGTGACAGCGCCTGATCCTTTAGCTTGTCCACGTAAAAAGAAAAGGTGTAAAAACAAGATTAAAATCTTAAAATTCAAGGACAGAATTTACCCACTTATTGTCAGCTCCTCCTCAGTCAGATGATGTAACTCAATGATGTAAAACTATGGAGTATTTTATGAAGCGTGACAGGACTGACCAAAAACATGGGGACTGTTGTAAAACACAATTTGTTGGTCAAATGTAAGCATTATTCAATGTTTTCAATTAACTGTCGTAAAAGATAACAAGTTAAATGTGCTATTAAATAAAAGTTTTTAGCTAATTAAAAAATGTAAACCTCTCGCTCCAATTTGGCTGGGGACAGGCCATTTTTAAGAACATCTATTTTTCAAAAGTGTTTTTAAATAAATAAAAAAACACCTGAAACCCTAGTCTAGTGAATCACAGACCTATGTACAAACAACTCACAAAACACTACTATCTCATCAGTTTTAAGATATTTTATGGATTATAATTTGTATTCACTGTAACAATCCCAGGACAGATAATATACGTTTCTGGTAGAATGTAAGTATAGCCTACCTTAGTTAACTATATTTGTTTTTGTCTTTTGGCTTATTAGCTGTAAACTCGAGGCACTGGCAGTTTAGTCATTTGTTCATCAACACTCACCTTCAAAGAAGCCAAGAAAAGCCGGCATAACATGGGACAGTAAAGTGGGAGGTGCTGCTACCTGTCTGTCATTCGCGAGACATCGCGAATGGACGCGGGAAGGGGGGGGTGCTGAGGGGGCTGCAGCACCCCCATCTGCGAGGCTCCACTAGCACCCCCCCCAGCGCGTCACAGTTTCGCCACTGAGAGAGTGTGTGTGTGTGTGTGTGTGAGGAGCTCCGCGGATTGGTCCATTTGGGTATGGTCACGTCACTGTACCCAGGAAGAAAAAGAGAAATCTCCAACGAGGCGTTCTGGGGCAGCATAGACGGGTCTTTTCTGTGTTAGAGTTTTACTCGCTACAGGGTGTACTTTGAGGGTTTGTGACTTTGCAGACGGTTTACATGCAGAAAAAGCTACATAACACACAAGGGGACAGGTAATAACCGGAAAAGCATGACATGGGACCTTTAAGAAACTATACATACATACAAAACATACAACTAGCATATCAGAAAATGTAAAAACATAAGCTGACATATATTAAAAAAAGGAGTGTACAATTCCTGTCCCAGAATAAAAGTGTTCTGCATGATAAAACAAAAAATAAACAAGATATGTAAACAGCAGGGTAGAGTATGGTGTATAAGAATGTATAGTGCTTATGATATTTGGATTGTCTTGCAATAAGGAACCTCCACATGCAACACAGGTATTTGTCTTTGCAATAATTATCCTTGTCTGTGTGCTTTTAGAAAAGCTTCTCCAAAGATGTCGGCCCGTTGGTCTCCAAAGCAGTGAAGAGAAGTGAGGGCTCTGACGCCGTGGTCCACTTGTCAGGAGTTAAGATCTTCTACGGCTCTCAAACTGGAACAGCAAAGGTACATATACTGTTTAGTACTGTAAATAGGATTGTTCTACTGAAAATCTTCTGATAACAATAAAAATCTATATATAGCAATAATGGTAATTCCATCAATAAATTGTCTCATCGAAATAACTACGTGGTAAGGCCTATTTTTCCTATTCTCGTGTGTGAATTAAGTACAAATAAAAAAGCATTTTCAAATGTAATAAATATGTTCAGTTGGAACAGTTAGCTTTACGGGTTGCCCTTCTGACAGTCACTAGGGTAATCGAGGAATTAATCGATAAGATGTTCTGGACAATTTTGAAGAAGAGGACGAACTGAACCGAGGGACCTTTCCCTCAACTCCGCTGGATTACAGCTGTCCCGCTTGTATCTCCAAAGATTAAACATGTTCTTCTTGGTTGACTCAAGAGCATCAATGTCTTTACCGATGTATGGGTCCCAGATCGAGTTGGCATACTCTGCTTTAGAACGTACGCTGTCTCCTTAAATGTCTGTGGGCAGTGTCGTAACCCAGCTATCTGTTTACCTGTGTTACTATTTGGTGAATGTGTTAGCTGAATTTAGGCTATTTGTGAATTTCTTACCCAAGATAAAGGTGGTGGGTCGCCTCTTTGCGATGGCGGCACACATACTAAATGTCCCATTCTGAGATGACTGATTAGACTCTTCATTTGTTCAGGGTTTTGCAAAGGAGCTGTCGGAGGAGGTGAAGACTTTGGGCATACCAGCTGAGGTGATCGACATCAAAGACTACGATCCAGACGATCGACTTTCTGATGAGGTAAGCTCGCTCCAGTCAAGTGAAGGACAGAAAGACATCAGTGTGTAGAGACATAACGCCTGTAACAGGAACACATCACTCTAAGAGATTTTGTCCTCGAACAGGAACCTAAAGGACTGCGAACTTCAGCACCGATCCTCTCCACATTGTCCCTAATTTAAACGCTGTATAATATCACAGACTAATTAATGCCTCTATTAATTGTAGCAGTATGCCGTATGTACTAAGAACTTGCTCCAGGGTGTTAATTAAATCTCTAAGAGTGTAAGACCCAGCAATGCTTACAGGCAAGGCTTAATTAGAGCAACATGAATCAAAGTAAAATAAATCAGAAGTGGCTTTTTTGGTTGTAAGCTTGACAACAAACAGTGCTGTAAGCCCTGAGTTCTGTAATGTGCCTGCTTAGCTTTCCCTTCATTTTTTTCTCACACTGATTTGTTATTTCCAAGTCTGGCACAGAAAACAAATCCAGCTCAGCTGAAAAAGATGGATATTTTCATCAGTGTTCCTTTTTTCTTTTTTGTGGGCACAGGCACAGTGAGGTGCATTGAGAGATGAATAGGAGTTTGGTGGGCTAGTGCACAGCAGGAAAGAAAATATCTATTTATTCAGAAAAGGACAGGCATGCAGTATGGATTCCGGATATTCTCTAGAAGCAGCCGTTCCTGGACCATTAGTCCGGCATTGGTCTGACAGCCAGGACATTGTGAGACCACAGACAACAAACTGGATTTTTTTGTCTTGTTTATTCACAGGAGACGATGTGTACCTACTTACTTTAGTTTGAATTTAGATTTTATTTTTTTCTGACCTTTGAAGAAAATGGTGGTCTTGGAGGGGGGTAAAGTGACTCAATAGTGCACAAACTAGCCATCACATACTCTAGGTATAATTGTTGAGAAGGTATATGTTTCAAATTCCCATTGCATGTTCTAATTCCAATTCCAGGTTCCAATTCAACATTCAAATTCTAAGTTTCAAATCCAAGTTCCAATTCCAGGTTTAATTTACAATTCTAATTCCAGGTTCCAAATTCAAATTCCAATACAAAAAAAATCCAATTCTAAGTTCCAAATCCAGGTTCCAGTTCCAAATTCAAATATCAATTGCAGGTTCAAATAGCAAATTCTAGGTTCCAAATTCCAATGTGTACAGTATGCTAATTGTATTTCTGCTCCATTGCTTTGCAAGATTTGTCTTTATTTGGATAAGCCTTACAGGAGTAGGGTACTTGTAAAATGTCTTGCTCTTACTTCACTGTTTCACCGTCTTCCTCTTGTTTACTGTGTGTCCCTCTGCGTTCAGTGCACCAACATGTCCGTCTGTGTGTTCCTCGTGGCCACGTACACTGACGGAACCCCCACAGTGAACGCAGAGTGGTTCTGCAAGTGGTTGGAGGAGGCGTCCACTGACTTCAGATACGGGAAGACCTACCTGAAGGGCCTCAGATATGCAGTGTTTGGTCTCGGCAACTCTGTCTATGTCGGCCACTATAATACGGTACTCTATTATATCAAGTACTATCAAAAAGATGTGCTATACAATCGGTTATTTGAAGAACTATCGAAAACTAGAAATTGACAGATGTAGCTCAGGGAAGAACAGTCCAGGGAAGAAGTTGACGACTTGTTCAGCATTCAGTAATTCTTTTTGTTCTCTTTTCCTAACCAGGTGGGTAAAAACGTGGACAAGTGGCTTTGGATGCTGAGTGGCTTGCGCATCATGACCAGGGGAGAGGGCGACTGTAATGTGGTGAAGAGCCGTCATGGCAACATTCAGGCAGACTTCCTGGCCTGGAAGGTGAAGTTCCTGACCCGCCTCCAGGCCCTGGCCAAGGGAGAGAAGAAGAGCTGCAGCAGGAACTCTAAGAACGGAAGCTCCTGTAAGAACAAGAAGAAGGAACAGGAGGAGGACGAGGCAGCGCCTGTACCGCAGGACAACAGCTCTGAGGTAGAGCAGTTTATCTCAACATTGCATTTTTTGTTGTACACCGTAAACTGTTTTTCTTTTGGGCCACTTGGTCAAAGTCTTAGTGGTTTTACATGTTTGTGATGCACGTTAGGTCTTGCTTTCAGAACAACACTCTTGCTCATCAGTCTCCGGTTTGTACATGCCAGTTGGACAAAATATGTCAGAGCCCTTGCCCATGTCAATATTGGATTAGGAACCTAAAATATGTTCCTGGTTCCTGCCAAATGCTGTAATGATTAACTTTTTATTTTGGCACCTTTGGGGGGGCCAAAATAGCAGAAAAGCTGATGTCTAATTAGAAAAATATCCTCTAGTTTATGATGTTGTTCAACATCACAAGGGCACTTCAGATATTATATCTGCACTAACGCCTCATCTTGCAAGAAGTGTTGCTGAGTTTATTGGGTTAGTAGCATGGATGTTGTGCATTTTCAAGAGAAAGCACAAAGGTTGCATGCGTCATCACTATCAATGCTCTACATCCTGTCAAAATATAGAAATAGCTCTTACTCGTTCCACCAATCATTGAATTAATATGTTGTTAGAAGAACATTTATTTTAGTTTTTTATGCACTAGTGTCAAATTGGTAGTCTGGATTGGAAATATGGTCCACAAGAAATAAAAAGGTAATCCACTGATAGCAAGGTTGGCGGTTTGATCCCCACCGCCTCCTGTCCTCATGTCAAAAACACTCCTTATAGTAGCAGCACTGGTGTGCGAGGGAGTGTGTGAATGGATGAATGAGAGGCAACAATTGCAACACGTCCAGGATTAAAGCGCAATATGATTGCAGCCCATTGACTATTTACAAACACAGACCTATATAACATGCACACAAATGCAGAGAACTTTCATACACATCATAGTACACACATTTGACCAGTTGTCATGGTAGCGGCGACTCAGAGCCAACTCTAGTTGATTCTTCTTCCTCTCTGATTGCACTCAGCAGAGGTGACATTCAACCGGCTCCAAGAGGAGCTGAGAGACTCAGCAAGGTCCAACATGTAATTTATCTTCCACTGCTCATGCTGATCCTGCACATGTGGGCAGAATATGCAACACACATTGTGATAAATCCTTGGTAAACATGCCTATGGTTTCTACGGAAGAGGATTTAAAAAATCTTCGAATTCTGAGTTTAAAGGCAGAGTTCTGAATTCTCTTTTAAGAATTCCCTGATCCTCTTCTGTAGTTTTCTCATGTAATCAGGCAGCCCAACAGTAGATAGAGTAGTGCAGAAATGTATCCTAAAATACAGATTAATTATTTAGCATTTTTAACAAATCCGGTTTTCTTGTTTTAAAGTAAACGTTGTTTTGAACACGTTTTTGGTTAGATGCTTGATATAAGGTCTGTGGTTTACACAAGCTTAGGAGATTTTCAAGTTTTTTTTCTCCAACATAAAAAATTGTCAGTGAATAACTAACTGGGGAATGTCTGAAGCTTCTATGTGTCATAAAGACTGTGGTTGCTAACAAGTGAGTAAATGAAACTATTAAATCACGCTAAATAGTAGCCGCCTTTTAGCTTAGTGTTGGTGATGTGAAGTCATCAAACCGTGTAGTTTGTTTATAGTTATAGTTGTTTTATAGTTTAAAGTTGGCTTTTATACTTCTGGCCCTTGCATTTCGCTTCAAAAATCATAAAGTGGTGTTAATATGTGGACACTATTCTGCCCCCAAAAAAGTGTATGTATCATAAACATGAACATGCAACAGATCTTATTTTCTGCAATATCCCAAATCCAATGTAACAATTATTTTTGTCGATGGAGAAAAAGTAATCATTGCACTGAGTCATAGCAATGTAAATCGATGCGTTCCATGTTGCCTCTTTCGTTCACTCAGACACGGTTTTATATAGTTATTGGTTGGCACATGTGAGGATCATTTATTGTTCCATTTGAGCACGTTTGTCACTATGTCTTTTTTAGTTTTTTTTTAAAAAACATCTTTTGATTGACATATGTTGGGCTTCTTCTTGTTTCAGGAGGATCTGATGGAGTCCAGCAGTGATGAGGAGGAGTCTGGCCTGCAGGATGAGAAAACATCAGGTTCAGTCGTCGACATGGAGGATCTGGGCAACATCATGAACAGTGTCAAGAGAGCAAAGGTCAGACTGTGCACACATTTACTAACTGAAACGCTTATTTTTCAGTACACAACGCAAGCATACATCGATTCTCTTGTGGCTCAGTTGACCGGAGTTATTTAATTCCACCTTTACCTTTCTTCAGAAAACCACTACAATTCAGGAAACATTACAGAACGAAAGAACATAATCATAATGAGCTTCAGAGATGTGTAATATACTTGAAGATCTGAGTTGGATTTACAGTCGTTGCTTCACAATATTACAGTAAGGGTTATCATTGAATCATTTTCAAACGTATTAACCGGAGCCCGTCATGTAGCAGGTTTATTTTCAGCGATTCCGCGTTAAGGTCTGTGAGGGGCCCCATCGTGGCATTAAGCTTCCACCACCTCAGTCCAATCTTGGTGTGTTGAGAAAGGAGATGAAGTGGTGTCATGGATGGAGCAGTGGCAGATGGGTTGATAGACACCAGACCCCGGCAGGCGAGAAGCAAAGGCTTGCGTAAGAGCGAGGACGCCCACCTCACAGACTTGTGAGGAACGAGTGACTCAAGAGAGGCAGTAAAAAAAGAAGGAAAAGGCAAATATCAGTCTTCTTTATAGGAAGTGTAAGGAGTGAAGCAAAGACCTGAGCTATGACAGGGAGAGGGAATGGAAGGAAAATACATCTAGGTATTCAATGTGCTATTAAGAATCAGATCAGTGTACTTTAAAGGGGACCTATCATGCAAAATGCACTTTTTGATGTCTTTTATACATAAATATGTGTCCCCGGTGTTTCAGGGAACTCACGCAGCGTCAGAAAATAAAACCCTCTCTCTTTTCCTCCGTACCCAAATCTCTAAAAACGGGGCTGATCCAGATTTGCGTCCGATATGGCGTAATATCGGAAATGTGGACCCACGGCACTATCAGAAAGTTGCTATCAGAAACAATGCCCGACTGTTTTGGACGTAATATGGTCGGTGTTTACATTAGCATCGCTAACACTCAGAGCTAACCTGTACTGGAGAGCATGTGTGTGAAGAAGCAGGAAATAAAAAGGAACTCACCTTGTGGTATAACCGGCAAGAGAGAAAGCCTTTGAGCTCCATACTGTTTCAGAAATAATCCTTGATAATCCATGATATGGCGTTTCATCACCGCAGTATTTAGTTTAGACAGTAGCTGCCGGGTCCCACATGAGCTCAGCCCCCTCCTTTTTTATCAATCTTTTCTTTTTTTAAAGCTTTATACCCAAAATCAGCACTTTTGAAACAGGAAGTGAAATAGAGAGGTGATCTGTTTGGTATTTTGAGCAAAACACTTCATAGACATGTTTTTTATATATTTGTATATATCTGAGACCTATGCTCAGTGTTTCCCCTATATACAAATAGTGGCGGCGCAGCGCCGCTGCTGAAATATGCGCGCCGCTGCTAGGGGGCGCCAGCCAGGTACCCAAAAAAAAAAAGAAAAAATATTTTTTTAATTTTTTATTAAAATAATAATAAGTGGCGACCCTTTTTCATTTTTGATTGTTTGTTATGTAGATTTGTAGTATTTACTGTTACTGTATGTTCAATAAAGGTGTATTTTTGCTAAATCTTGAGACATTGCCACTGTATGGCCGATCTTTGGCATAGGCGGTCGCCTAGGGCGCCAGATCTGGGGGGCGCTGCGCTGGTAGTTCTGGGAGGGGAAAAAACATTTTTGACCGTTGGCGCTCATCCTAATTCTCGGCCTTGATGTAACAATATTCATAATTAAGTAAATGTAACACCCTTTTCACCCCGGTTACACTTTTCATTTGCCCTGTACGATGGGCGTTGTAAGTGATGAAAGTGGGGGATGTGGGCTTATCAGGCGCCCGCTAGGGGTGTAACGGTTCACAAACATTTCGGTTCGGTACATACCTCGGTTTTTAGGTCACGGTTCGGTACGTTTTCGGTACGTTTTCGGTACAGCAGAAAAAATGATCACAAAACATAAAATATATATATTTTCCGGCGCTGTTGTTATTAGAATCTAGTGCTAGCTGCGCTAACGGATATAAGAAGTAGATGTTTCTACAACCAGGGTGGAGGAGAGCTCTCCTGTCAGACTGAGAGGCTCAGTGAGGTAAAGGACTCTCTGAGTGTTTAGATAGTTAATTTTAGTCTAAGTCATCTCAGTGGGTCTCAAACGTTTTGACCACAAATTATGTAAACACATATTTCCAAGGCACTCCTTTATAATTATTAGGATAAATAAAAACAGGTTTGAAATCATTCCAGTGTATACTATAGGACAGTAACCAAAAATATCGTTTAAAGTTGGAGAGATACAAAAATATGCATAAATAAATAAATGTTAACTAGGTAAAATAAGATATGAATGAACAACAAAAATAAAATAAGTTACATTTATTTGTTATTGGCTATGGTAGGTTATTGGTTATGTTCATATACTTATTTGATTATTAAAATGTAAACCGATCTTTTTCATATGGGTGTTTAGAGTTGTACCCCCTAGATCAGGGGCCTCATTTATAACGCCTTGCGTAGGATTGACGTGGGGAGGTTGCTTACGTAGTACAAAGCAAAAAAATAGGTATAGACATTTTCCGATTCACAAAACATTGGGTACCGGCGAGGGAAGTGCGTACGGCACTTCCTACGCCTGTTTCCCTTTATGAATCACAATCGACTCGTAACGCCCATATTTGCCTATAAATAGTCAAAGAAACGCCCATTCATTCATTCACTCTGACTGACTGCATGAAGAAGATTGCAGGAAATGACGACAGAACAGCTAAAAAAGACATCTCACACCGTGTCAGATTTAGGTTATTGTGGGGAGGTGGAGATAAATCATATTGTTTGGTGGATGCAGTTTGAACCAGAGTAGCAGCATGGAGGTCGGATCGTCACCAAAATAAATAAATAAGTGGTCCGAAAAAAGTTAATGACAAAAAAAATACACATAACCTTCCTCAGGCAGTGTGTTTGTACCGGAGACAGGAGACACCCCCTTGATGAGAAACTGTAAGAAATTATCGGGGAATCCCTCCGGAGTGGAGTCATGACGACTGGATCTGAATTATTTTTGTTGTATTTGGTGGTTTGTGTTCCAGCTTTCGATCAGCAACTATATATCCATAATCCACCAGTTAAAGGAAATACAACTAATGTGTTGTGTTATATTAGCTGTACAATTTACCACATATGGTGTTCTTAGTTTCCATACCTCCTGCGTTTTACGAGCGACTTATCAAGTCTTGGCAAACGGCATAAAACACGATTAAACGTGATAGTATATAAAACCATGCTCGTATCTACAACCTATAGAAATGCAAAACGGCGTCAGTTTAGACGTCATTCTGTCCTCCTGCTTACCACATCATTTATGAGAAAACATTTCATAACATTAACACAACATATTCGAGGTGGTTTTAAATAACATATCCGTATTTATTTATTTCTCCAAGTTATGCTTTTCTGTGCACGGAGGAGTCTCAAACAGGCGTTTGTTTAATCATTTTAAGATTGGCTTTAATCAATGTTTGAAAAGGAATTCTTCATATAAATGAGAGGTAACATTTTATTTATGGTATTATTTCCACATATTTCTCTCCATTCTTCCTTCTGCCAACGGTGTCGCAGTTTCTCGTCTCTCCCGTGTGTGTGCTTAGTGCGTACGCATGGGTTCGAGTTTGCGTGGAGGACCGCACATTTTCCCGTCAAGTTAGTATTTTATAAATCGCAAACATTGCGTAGAAACTGGCGTACGCAATTTTTTGAGCGTATATCCCTTTATAAATGAGGCCCCAGGTCTCTAGTGTGCTCAAAGTGCACCAGATTGAAGCATTTTACTTTAAAATGTTCAAAAAACTCTTCCCGAATACATTTGAAGCCATTTTTACGTATATTACCTATGTCAATAAGTTTCTGTTTTTGTAGTGTATTTGTCTTTTGTAGAGATTTTTAATTTCTTCTTTATATATAAAATCTCGCCTAGGGCAGCAAATTGGCTAGAACCGGCCCTGGTACTAGGCCTCAAGAGCCTTTCTTGTGCTGGCAGACGCATAGAAACAAATTGGCGGGGCGCACTTCGCACGTGCACAGACTAAAAAATTCCACACGCTCCGCGCTCACATTATGCTGGGCCCACGTGCCTTAGCATCGCTGCTATGACTCCATCCTAGGGGAAACACTGCTATGCTATTGCCTAAAAATAGCATGATAGGTGCACTTTAAGATAAAGATTTAAGATAAGATAAGATATACTTTATTGATTCGAAATTGGGATTTATTTTCGTTACAGCAAGGCGTTGCAATCATTTGAAAAATAAAAAGAGTATAAAATTGACAAACATCAAATATTTACATCCCAAAATAGAAATAACGGAGCTAAAATTCAAGTTCAAGTTGACCGTGAAAGATTATAATCTGTAGATTGTCTGACACAGTGAAGGGCCACATTACAGCTAGCACAACACAACACAAAGTAGGATATTATTTAGTGGGAATGCTGACACAGCATTCCAACAATTAATTCCATATATTTTGAATATATATATATTTGTATATATATATATATATATATATATATAATATCTGTATGTATATTTTCTATTTTGTATTTTGACATGTATATTTTATATTTTATTTTATATTTTATTTTATTTTATTTCTATTCTTGTATATTTTGTTTTATTGTAAAATGCCTTTTATGCTGCTGTAACAAAAACAATTTCCCAATTTGGGATCAATAAAGTACGATCTATCTATCTATCTATCTATCTGTTATGCTACGCACAAAATTCTTTATTATTCCGCCGGGTTATTTTGCGCCACTTCTCCTCCCATATTGAACATCGCAGAAACTCCGTTCAAACATCAAAACGTTCAGCTCGGTCGGGAATCGATGGCTATTGCTTTTATCATTCATAACTTTCATAATTCCAGAGATGCATCCCATAATACATCACATTTTTAACATGGAAGTCAATGGAGCAACTCTTCAGACTTCAACAATCTTCATTCAACTTCAACCGCT